GCGGAATTTGGGATACGCAGACACAATTTGTCGTCTGCAACTGTGGTTATGTCGCAAATTGACCACCTTAACTTGCGGATGACCCTCGCTGAAAACGGCCGAAAAACGGGCTGTGCAACCGAACTTCAGTAACCTAAATCGCTCAAAAACCCGTGCAAAAAACGTACGTAGACTTTGTTTTGGAGCTGCAACTGAGAAAATGTCCGGAATGACAGCAAACAAAGTTCACGTAACGGTATTTGAAAATGTCTGCGCATGGACAATCCATCGGCAGTTTAAGACTCAGGCGTTGTTTGAAGTTGGTATGGGAAGCCTGCAAATTAAAAGCACCATTATTAGCGTTTTCCTTCTCGTATTCATTGAGGGCGGACATAAAGGGCGTCAAAATTTCGAAAACTCCGCTGCCCATTATTCCCTTAAACAGAGAGCACAGGATGATCATTTGTTCTGGAGCTGCAATGAACGTTTTAATAAGCTGCATGTCTTAGCTTTTTAGCAAAGTAGTGCGTAGTCTGCGGAAATAATTTAGCTGCGAGCCTGGACTTATTTGCTTAGGTTGCGCGGGCTAAAAAGGGACAGGTTTATGGATATTTTCCGTCCTGAATGAATTTACTGCAAGGGCTCATCGCTTCTGATACATTATTTTGAAGAATGCACTACAACCCACGCGTCCTCTAAATAGTTAATACATAACAAACGTTAAGTTGAACATACTTCGCAGTTGAAGCCAGTGTGCACGCATATTTGCGACTGTAAATAACAAACCTGTCCGCATTAGGGCAGCCAGCTGTAAATGTGCGAGTACTAACCGCCTTAAAAGGGTAACCGGTTTCCTAAATACAATTTAGTACAACAAATAAAATACTTACCTGACTAAAGCGCCCAAATGCCTCTTCCAGTGCATCGTGGGATGCAAATTCTTGGCCGTATAAAATGGTGCGAAAAGCATCTGACACATAACCATCGGCTGGCATCGTTTGCGAAAAAATGAGCCCGCTACGCAGTATTAAAAAAACTGCTGAATTCTGAAGGACACGTTCGCATAAAATGTAGCCATTCAGCGAGCAGCAGGGTCGCCCAATTAGAAGCGTCAGCGCTCCGTCGCGTCTCGCAGGTTGCACGGATCGTTGATTGCTACTAAACAGCTGATTATTTTGTGCGCCGAATCTTGACTTCGACCTAGTCACTCTAGTCTTCATTTGAAACCTCTGCATTTCCTCCACTTTACGTACTTATGAACAATGAGGTACACTCCAATTGTCGCCTTTGTTGGAGGTCTACTTATTCACGAGCGGAAAGCGCTAGAACACCCACCCGTTTGTAAACCCCGTGTTTTGGACATCGAAAAAACCGTCGAGAAGGCGGATAGGCTCATCAATGCATTCAGAGTACGTCCGCCTCGTCTATTCTTATTCGAAACCTCAATTTTAGGAAACCGCTGGTGTTCCTGGCCTTTCAGTCGCGGCCTCCATCGGTGGGATCACGGTCTATTCTAAAGGTGAAATCAGTCTGAACATAATATGCATCTTTGTGCGTTATTCTTGTTAGACTTATCATTTTGATAAATTCGCTGATAAGCAAATTTGTTTAGCCTAGATTAAAACATTAACGTGCAGCAGAATCGTGAGTTTATTTTACGTGGTAGCTAGCACAATGGTTTTTAACTATTCAACTGTTCGACCAACTGTAAATTGCAGTCCTAAATTAAGTAGGGCCTAAGTAACATTGCCTTTCCGATGATGTTCGGTTATTTAAAAACTCCATTTCTCCTAGAGAATACACAAACATCTCAGTTTTATACATCTTTTTCCGACATATTCTCGTACATAAAAAAGCACGCAATTCTTCTGTAAACGTTTATAATCAGCAGAATATCTAGGGTGCCAGTAAATTGTCTACAATATGTGCGTCTTAATTCCTATTACGTTTAAAGTAGGCAGACTATTTCGTACCCTGGATTATTTTATGAAAGCTAGCAGAGTACATAGCTATTTCAAGTAATATTTTGCTTTTCGAAAAGTGCAGGACATACACTTGGAGACCATTTGCACAAGTAGAAACGCCACTACTATAAGAAAAGTGCGGTGATTTGTAGGATTCTTCAAACCGGGGTATTTGGTTATTCTGAATGTAGAATTTCAAAGAAAGACCTAGAAGTGAAACAGTTGTACACTTCCATCAGTATGCCCAAACCTATTCAAGCCCAGGAACTGTGTGAAATACTCTATTTAAGTCAGCCCTTTTTTTCGCCTCTAACGCGCAAATGTTTGTTAAACTGTCTAACCCAAAGCTGGCAACTCACCATGCACAACTCAGCTTGGAATCATCTTACGTATTAAGTTGTATTTTAAACCCTCTTAACTAGTATTTTCCTCTCCAGGAACTATTTGCATTTAAGTCAACCTGTCGCACGTTTCTGTGCCTATCAAACTTGACCCCAACAAATTTTTTAACTGGATTTTATCAGACACACGATTCCGTGACCACATAACATACATTTTGATTTGGGTTTCGCTTGCTCGAAATAAGGCCAGCCCGAGAAGCACTCCAGCCCTTCTTAAAACGTGGACCATCCGTCCCAACAGACCCGAAAGGCGGGCGCTTCGTAGGTCCACCTGTTTGCTATCCGGCACGTCCATTCGTGAAGAATAGGAGAACGGCCTTTGGCAGTGGTTATCTACGAAATAATCAGGCTCTCAGTCGTGGTGAAAAAGCCCTCGCGAACCAACAATAGCCGGGCTACCAAGGTGCCGAGGAATGGGACCTGGCACGCCGACTGCCCTACAGAATTTCGCGAAGGCCGATGAAGTTATATAGCATGCGGACCCTGTACCTCCACTAAGAACGTTTATTTAGCATAACTGCCTTGCGGCTAGTTTCTTGACCAAAGGCGCTAGCGGAGAAAATCTCTAAAAATATCGGAGTAACTGTTGGTGTCCTGCCTGTAATCAAAATCCCCAAGAAAGTTCAGACAAGCTTCCTATTCGAGTATTATAATCTGCGTCACAACGTTCGCAGAAATATATGCGTTCCGCGGCCATAGCCTAGAGATGCAGGCGAATAGTGTGCAGACTGGACTACTCAATCGAGAGCAAAATCCTTGTGTAAGATGCTGAAATTTGTGAGCATTCTTTAACACTATTACTCAAGCTCAGATGGTACACCATCCTCATCAGTACAACCTAAATGTAAGCTGCTTGTCGTTAGTCCAAATTCCCACCTCATAGAGCCGGAACCTCAAGATCTCAGGAGTTAGCTCAAAATTTCCTCCCACGCGACCCTTTTAGTAGACGTAATATGGCGGTGGCTCTCTCACAACAAGCGAATCACGCTCTTCTTGCGTGAGAATCAGTTACTGACCGACTGATTGCATGCAAATGAAAGGTCGCTTTACGAACTTATCTTTCGTCTCCATGTGAGTACGAACTTCAACTACCCATCAGCACTTTAAGTGAACCTTATACTCGTTACTGCAAGAGTTAATCACAGAATTCACTCACCCTTATCTGATATTTGACGCGGGGGCTGGAATTGCTAAACTGGACAAGTTATTTCGCACACGGTCATCACATTTTTCGCTTTGTGCTTGGCTCTCAATGTGACGACGGTTGAAGGATGCTGTAAGCTGCTTACCCGAATCCACTCAACAAAAAATGCATCCCATACCACCAGTAACATTTACTTACCTGCTGAAGTCGCATTCCCATACTCCGCCCTAACTACCCACGCGAAGCTTCCCGACTGGAACGAGAGAGAGACGAGATTCGAGCGCGAGATG